AAGCTGTTCACCTTGGCCTGCTCCAACCTGTGGGCTCTGGTGATGCTTTTAATGGTTTCAAGGCCTGCCCTGTTGCAGCACGTGAAGCTATGGGTTTTCCCTAGTCAATTTAACCGGTATCACAGCCATTGGACTGCAAACTTGTCAGAACTGGCACCTAATGAAAACAAAATTGGGAAGGCAGAGGGTCAGATTGCTTCACCGGGTTTGCTCACGGCATGAGGGCAGGTTTGCCCAGGCTCCTCTGCAGAAGGACTTGGGGTAGCCCTTCTAGTCTGCTCTGCAAGGCTCACCTGATCACCACTGGTTTAATGCCCATTCTTCACACTTATTGTGGCCTCTTTATACTACTGAAAAATCAAAATATTCACAATGTGTCAGGACCTCAACTCTTAAGTCATAAGAGCAGAGTCCTGGTTGGATGTCTCCAAAACACCTAACTAAGAAGACGGTGAAAGGGAAGAGTTTCCATTCCTCCTTGGACTAAGTGAAAACTCTGATTTAACCCCAGAGTCCTCTCGTACCTCTGTGTAACCATCAGGCTGGAAGGACTTGATCTTGATCGCCACGTGTGGAGAGGGGGATGGGGGGCCTACCTGAAAGTCAAGGGTCCTTAAACAATGACCTGCTGGGGCAACTGCTAAGCCACGTCTTTCTCAGACTGGGCCCAGTGCAGAGCCATGGCGCAGTACTCTTGACACCCACACGCAGCCTTCATGCCAGGAACCCCTGCTGGCTGCATTTCTAATAAGCATGAACTACAGGCAACACGAATGAACCTCAGATCATGAACCAGTTCACAGCAAAGCTGTAGAGAATATTGATTATTGCCACATGAGCCCGTGAAGCTGCCAAATGCTGTCTGAAAACAAATAATACCTGTTATAAATAGCAGCGTTCAGACAGGAGACATAAACATCAACCAAAGAAACCAAGATATAGTGGATGCGGACATGGGCTGCATGAGAGCCTCATCTCAAGCATATGCCCCTTCAGAAAACAATGAGTAGAGGAGGCGCGGCCCTTGTCACTCTCTGCCACCAACCCACCCAGGACAATTCGCGAGATCACAGCGGGAGTGAATGGCCCTCCTTTCCTCTCTCTTTGAGGCTCTAACAGAAGGCGAACACACACAGTTGCAATTGGCACTGTTATTTTATTAGTACGAGTATACTGAAACAATAAACTTGTACTGGTATACAGACAATTTATTTAAAACAATTTTGTTCAAATTTTGAATCAAACATTGTTTTATTATAATAATGAAATAATTTCTACCTAGAAAACCTGCAAGCACCATCAAAGAAAGGGACCATAAAATTCAATAAACAGACTCGAGTGTATCCTACAAATAGACACACCACGATTAGAAAATAGAATATGAATTCTTCCATTTTTTTTTTTAATATTTGTTTTAAAAAAGCTAGTGCAAGTACAATATTTTACACTGGAATTACAGAGAGTATGCACGCATATGGAAAAAAGTTCTCCTGTCACAATAAAAGCTCTTAACTATGTATGCACTTAAAATTTTCTTTTCAGTAAGGTGCAAAACATCATTCCTTCCCTAGTTCTCCTCGGTACTGGCCATGTCAGTCTGGTAGTGCCCTCAACCCGAGTTCTGGTGTCTGTTTTCCCTTGGCCTGTGGGAGGCATACGATTGGAAGTTTGGGTAATGATCTGGTATTGATCTGGTATTAAAACATCCAATTGTAGGAATCTCAGCAATGGCTCTGGGGCCAGGACCCCACTGGCTAGAAATGAGGACTCTGTCTTATCCGAAGGCCACCACAAAGACTGACAGGACCGTATTGAAACCTCCTTTCGGTCAACACTAATTTGGGTTTACAGTTGAGCAGTACAGGCCGGGGAGGAATAAACCCAGCCAAAGGGCAGTATTCACAGAACCAAATGCACAGGTGTCAAGTTTAAGATTCACTGACTAAAGAATTTACCCCACTCCTGGATCAGATAAGAGCAGGTGGTTCGTACAAGAACGGGAGAAAACCTATGCACCTAGCTTCTTGATAACTGCTCTTTAAAGAACAGCTCTAAGCTAGTGTCACCTCAGACTTGTTGGGAGGACAGTATGTTATCTTGGTAAGGGTTTCTGTAAACAACGCTTCCAACAAAGGCCTTCAAGGTTGGCCATGGAAAAGGAGACAGGCTCAATGGCCATCCAGACAGCAAACAGACAAACTAAGGGGAAAGAAAACGTGGGTGGGCGAAGTCTCCAATTTTCTGCAGTGGAAGACTTGAGTCCTTTCAGATCAGAAAAGGTATGGAAATTCTTAGAGACTGTTATTGTACAGATACTACCTATTGGCCAAATGCACTTCATTTTAATACAGTCGAACCATGTGTATGCAAGTCACGGGGACATGAAAAACTGAAGCCACTGTTCCCGCCCGCTGTCGTACAGGTGAATGTTAGCTACCAGAACAATTGCCTTTCACACTAAAGGAGGGGATGGGTTTCTGAATTTAAGAACTGTAGGTGGGTATGTTCCGTCTCCCCACAGCTGTCCAGTTTCTGCTGTCTGGCTTGATTTGGGGATAGGAATACAACTCTTCTGAGAAGTTGCTCCACATTTATTTTGGCCTCTTTATACTAGTGAAAAATCAAAATAAAACTAAAGTAAAATGAGACATTTCAATCGAAATTCCTGTTTTTACCCCCCCCATGTAAATGAGGTATGGGGGGAAAGAAGGCTAAACAATTTTTTTTTTTTGTCCCCATGATGAGTTATGTTTTATTGGTAGCTAGGATCCCTTGTGACAAACACTTCTTGTTCAGGATTATATTCTTTGGGTTTATAGGAACAGGAAGTGCTGAAAATGTCAAACATCGTCTCTGATGAAAAAGAAATTTCAATGGCTTAAGAGTTTAGACTTAAAAGGGAGCTCAGAGAAGTACTTCCAGCACAGGAATGAACAGTATTCTCAAATAGCAGAACACAGAGTTCCCCTCCCTCAGATGAGGGCTGTGTGTAACAAAAACATGACAGTAAGCATAGGTACAGTTTAAGAGCCTTTTACGTAGTAATTCTTCCAGGCCATAACCATACAAATATCTGATCATTTAGACATAACAAATTTCTATATACAAAAGAACACGTAACTTTCAACCCTTCTCTGCTTTTTTTTTTTTTTTTAACAAACAAAGTATGAAACTCAACTGTTTCAACAGATCCATCTTTTTCAAACACTGAATGAATCGTTGCGACATTCATTTTTCTTTTGTGCAATTTTTTAAAACATTACCTGTACTCCTCAAAGTGAGTGCTTCAAAATGGTTTTTCTTCAGCTTCTCAAATTAGGTGTACATTTTAAAAAAACTTCCCACAAGGTATAGTGCTACAAGAAAAGATTCTATCAGTAAGGTAACATATTTGAAGCGAGGTCATCTATGTAAAAGAAATCTCAGCTCCGGAGTAGAGGTGTCCAAGTTGTTTGGAGTTTCCCTATCAACAGAAACACAACACTGTCCGTGGAAAAAAGAGGAAACCAACCCAACACAATAGCATATGCATGTGCTTTATAAAAAAGTATATTCTCTGTATATTTATTACTTGATGTGTTCTTAAATTCTCTATTTCAGAAATTCTGGGTTAAAAACACATAATGTGGAAGCAAAGGCCTCCACTCCACTTAAAAAAAAAAAAAAAAAGATGTAATTCTCTTTCTTTTCATATCACCACCGAAGAAATTGAACCGGGCCATAGAGACTACCGGCCCTATTTTCACCTGGAATCATCAAGGGTGACCAACTAGGAAATTGAAGTGCAAAGGGTTTCAGGAGAGAACAGACCACAGTTTGTTAAGCTGCTTGTGGTTCATGAAACAGTAGCCATGACAACCGACACAGCCCAAGAAGCCTGGCCTTTTGTCCCAAGAGCTCTGCTTCCTCACCCATATCTGAAATAGCATGGCATTAGTGTCTTCAAAAGCATTTGAGATTTTTCTATGAAAGAAATAGGTTTCCTTAGTAGTCACCGATGTTAAAGGGTATTGTCAATTGTTTTCTTAAAAAAACAAAAAACCAAAACAAACAAACAAACAAAAAAAATCCAAAGCTACAACAACAGAAATAAATTTTGGCAACACATTTCAGTAAAGATCAAACTATGTGCAAAGAGTGGATTTTATGATTACTAGGAGCTACTGTTCGTTGTGAACATGCAGCATTATATTATATTGCAATCTATGCAGTTTCTAAGGAGTAATCCACAAGATGCAGGAAATCCAAACATTCCTTGAAATTGTACAACCCTACTGCAGAGCAGTCAAAGTGCTGCTCTGGACACATCGGCGTACCACACACACACCAGCCCCGTCCCTGAGTAAGAGGTGTGAAAGTTTCCGCAGAGTTCCTTGTAGGGGAGAAGGACGGATGCCGCCACTTCCTGGTGGGGGGAAAACCCTAACAGAAAACACAGGGGTCACAATTCAGAGCTAGAAATGGGATCAACATCAACAACAAAAATCAAATCATCCCAAGCCAGACTGGGTGAATTGGGGAAAACAAGAAACTGACCGACATAGAAAACTATCCTGAAAGTCCAAATGAACATGCAATCTGGATTTCCACTTTAAACGATTTGAGGTAAGTGGCACCCATCTCTGTATCCCTCCCGCCCCGCCCCAATGTGGCCCAGACAAACTGAAATGATTCTTAAGTTACACATTCTAAGGAACAGTCGTTTTTATATATTTAGAAATGCCTATAATAAAGAGAGAGGTTCTTGTTTGTTGGTTTCTTATTGATAATATTATTAGTTTTTCTTTTCGCCCTGACTAATTTCTTGGTGATTGTGTTCCATTGTAAACACAAAAGGCCTGCTGTTGTTAGTTTAAAAATGGAAAACAGGAAAGAAAGAAGAAGCAAAGAGGGCTGTTGTAAATATTGCAAACTGGACACAGTACAGAGGCACATGGCTGATCCTTGTAAGCTGAACGGCACCGAAGATTTTCTACCCCTGTCATTGTTATGTTTGCTACACAGAAGCAGTGACAAGGCTGCTCTGGGAGCCTTGGGGCTTGCCAAGTCTGCAAACGAGGCCTGGCTTCTGTGTGTTCTTCCTATTTGAAGAGAAAGCTGCCACAAAGGAGTGGTGACCATGGTTGGCAGGTGGTCCCCTCCACAGCCACAAGCCGGCACGCTCAGCACGCACACACACAAGAGGTCACACTTCCTGCCCATGCTCAGAGGCAAGGCGCAGAGTCTCAAGGACATAGCCCCCGGGGAGGGGCCTGCCCAAGTGCAGAAAAGACGGTGGAAAATGGGTCGACTCCAGGCTACACTGCTCCAGAGTGCGTCTCAGAAATGAATCTGCCTCCTTCCTCTCCACACTTCACATTCACTATTCCATGTGGTGATAGGGGACTGCGGCACTTCCCCAGGTCGTGGCTGGCTCTTTCTGCAACATGGCGACAGACACAGGGGGCTCCCAGCATCCAGCAGCCGCAGCAGGGAAAAGGGGATCTTCCCCTCCTGGCCCCTTCCCTCCAGCCCTTCTCTGGCCATAACAGGGAAGATCAACCAAACAAGGAAAAAGCCAAAAGGGAGAGAGCTTCGACTACAGCACACTGGTCAGACTCTATTGGCACAGAAAGTATTGCACATGCTAAAAAAGCGAGAGAATGAAATGGGACAAAGGTTGAGAAAGAACCAATTACCTTATAATTCCTATACCTGAAACAGAACACAAAAATGTTGATGTTCCTATTGCTCCAAACCATGTGTGTTTTCCCATTTTAGTGTTGGTGTAGTGATCCAGTCAGTTCCATACTCGAAGTGAGCCAGAAGGTGGTGTGTGTTTTTCTGAATCCACGAGTTGTTGTAAATAGTGGTACTAATGAGAACAAAGTCTATGTGGCGGCCCGTATTCCTCTTACCATTAAAGGTTAAAACATAAAAGGGAAAACAAAACCTAATAACTGCAAGTGCCCTGAGCAGAATATATGGAAGATTAAGCAAGTTCTCTGAACAGAAACGTTGAAAAAGATACAGCACTAAAGAAGCAGTCTGACTGCAAGAATGAACCTACCCAGCTCTCTGCAAGCATGCTGAGAGGGTAATGAAGTTCAAGGAAAGTCAAGGAACGATTCTAGCTACTCTAAACCTATTCAAACTTTTTTGGTACACCCCAGAAAATGGTTTATAAAAATCATGAGTCCTGGTGGGAGCTAAATGTAAAGGAATACTAGATAGCCAAAATGTGGGTTATTAGTTGTTTTTTTTTTTTTAATTTGTGATATGGAAATAGTACTATTTTCAATGGAAAAAGAAAAGTCAGATAAGTACTTGTTCAGGTTAGCTGCAGCCATCCAAGTAAGAATATTTAAAAATTTCTCCCTACTTATAAAAATTTTTTTTAAAGCACTTTAAGATGCACTTAAAACCCACAAATGATATTTCAGATCTCTGGGAATGAAAGGTTTATAACTATGAAATACTCTTTCTGGGTTTGTACCAAACATTAAATCTTGATTTGATTTCAAACAGAAAAAAAAAAAGTCATTCTGAAAATAACATTAATAACAATAATAAAGTAATTGTTTTTTTTTTTTTAAAAAAAAAAAAACTTGCTCACATATATAAACGTCTTTATGGAAAACTCTCTCAATGAATCTGAAGAAAATTCTCAGAGTAGTCCTGCTGAGTCCTGGCTTTTTGTGACAGATGTGGTGGAAAGACCAAAATGAATTTGAAAAGGAACATAACCTTATAAAACGGCCTAGAATTTAGGCAGGTTAGAAAGTAATTTTGCTACATTTATTTATGCTCGTTCAGTCCCCCAAACCTTTCCCACAATGTTATTGGATAAAAACTGCAGGAATATCACACAAATTATAAACTCAAGATGTGCAAATTGCAAGGTTCTTTAAAAGTTCATCTTCGAAATAAACACTGGACAAAAATGAGTATTTTCTCCATCCCTTTTCTCTCAGTTTCTCTGCCAACTCCGTATATGCCTTTAACTCGTTCTCAGACATCAAAGTGAAAAGTGCCTCCTGTCAGGTAGTACTTGATGGTCATTTATTGTCACATACTAGTTCATAATTCACATTCATCCCTTTAAACCACATTGAAACTTTCAATATCTTGCTCATGAGCAACTCTGCTGAGCTGAAATGTAGTTACAGTGTTGAAAAAAAAGAAAGCAACTTAGTTATTTATTGTTTTTTTTTTTCCCAAAGAGTTTAAAGTGAGATACAGTACTTGTTGAATGATAGACCAAGATGCTTGGTAATAAAGTGTGAACAGCATTTTAAGTGCTTAGAGATAGTAATATATGCTCATTTCTTTGAAATCTAATTCCTCCTGTCACACTGAAATCTGAAAAAAGTGGCACCCAAGTTGTCCATAGTCATGAACTATAAATAGACTAGAGTTAAAAGACAAAAAGATTTTGCAAAATCAATGCAAAGAGCTTCCGATGCTCTCACAGCAGGGCGGTTTGCACGTATCACTTGGGAGCGAAGTCAATGCAAGAACCTGATTGGTTTTCCTAACACTGCACAGAAACCAGCGTGGGTGTTCACTCTCTCCCCAATCCCTGCTCCCAGCCACCCCTCACCCCCACCCATGTGGGGCAACGTGAGCAGGGGCTTCCCTGCCCACCATGACACCCTGGCGACATCACTGCACTAGCAAAGCAGAAACGAAATCCCACGTGTGGCAGTTGCTCTTTTAAAAAAAATATATATCAGTGCAGTCAGGCCCCATAGGGGGAATTATATATATATATCTATATGATTCAAAGTTGCTTTTATTGTAAAATATGTTGGAGAGAAAAACATTCTTTTAAACAGTTAGCTTTCCATCTTCCGTCTGACGCCTCTCTACGATGCCCTGAAGCAGGGTTCCTGATGTGGATTTTGCATGTGTGAACCCCAGGAGGGCACTGCTCTGGACCCCCAACCCCATGCTGAGAGCAAGAGAGGGAGACAGAGGGAGGCAGAGAAAAAGAGACCCTCACTTGCCGCCACGGCACCCGTGCACCCCCACATCCCTGCGGGCCCCTTCCCACAGAACTTTCTCTTGCAACTAGTGGGAGTCAGCACCCCCTGGTGGCTTCTGGGCTGCTCAAGAAGGCAGGAGCTATGAAGCCACCTTCATGTCCACCCAGGCTGCCTGGAACCCCGACTGCCCGTGGAAAAAAGCATATGCACCAGTCTCCTGCAACACACCTGCTGTAACTCTAATGACCAGGTTAGAACAGAAACCTAAAATAAGAGGATAACATGTAAATACTGTGTTATTTAGCCTACAGTACAGTAATCTGGATACAAATGGTAAGGGAGAGCCGCGTCTCCTGTCCCCCACCCTGCCTCTACTTGCCTACGTTAGACCGGCCTTCGATGCAAATCTTAACCTCCTGAGGAATTAGAGAAGGCTTAGGAAGAGTCAAAGGTGGTTCATCTTCTGACTTCTCCAGTTTGCGGGTCTCCGGTGCCGACCACCTCCTCTTCCTTGTGGCCGTGGGCTTGCTGGGTTCTGTTTTGGTGAGGAAGGGCGCTGCAGGCAATCCTATTTTTTCTGGAAACTTCAGTTCGCCGTTCTCAGAAAGCATCTGGGCACTTCCCTGATTAATTCCATTTTCCTGCTCGGCATACCTGTGTCTACTGCCCGTCAGGCTGTCGGGCTTTGAGTGCTTCAGCAGGACGCTGGCGGGATCCACGGGCTGGCCCTTTTTAACAGAGCCGTTCTTCAGGTTCTTGAGGGTAAGCGAGATGCAGACGTCCCCAACTGAGAGTTTGCAACACGGCAAATCAAAGAGCTGGCTGGTTCTCTCTGGACAGCAGGACGACCAGCCCTGTCCAAACACAAAAAAAGGATACTCTACCAAAACTTCAACGCTGACCTGTGAGAAACAGAGAGAGACAGAGAAAGGAAAAGGGAAGGCGACAAATGAAAACATTATATTCTTGTTTTATTTTACACACACACACACACACACACACACACTCATGTGCACACACATGTATGCACACAGACACAGAAGCTGAATGGAAAAAAATAAAAGTTTACAAACCTCCCTCCCCAGTAACACACTACAAATGAGGCTCTTAACTTTCTGTGTACCTGTACTTACCTTATATAGATGCTGGGCAGACACCAGTGAAAACACTGTCCAGTGTAAAAGTCCATTCAGTATTCAAAATATTTTACTGACTATTAGCTCGACAGCTAGTCTCTGTTAAAACAAGTCAACCGACCCCAGCAACAACAAAACATCTACTTAGTGTTCAGCACTCAGGGAGGCTCTGCAGGTGACTCAGAGCCCAAGGTATGGTCTTGCACTTTACCAGTGCACTGGACAGCTGCTGTTGTCACGTATGACAGGGCTAGACACGGACCCGGTTGGAGCTGTATGTAAGCTCCACGAGGCAGCGCTTGTGTGTTGATCGCCATATCCCCAGACCCCAAATGGGTGCTTGGCACATGGGTGAAGCTTGATAAATATTTATTGGGTAAATGAATGTGTACCCTAGGCCTTGAAGGGGAGCATAATCAGTAAGGGCAGCAAGGAAGCTTTCCCAGGACTCTGAAGGATGGGCAGGATTGGGAGAGGTTTGTGGTAGGGCACTGCTGGTGAGAGGGCAAAACGGACGCAGACGGCTCAAGTGCTTGGTCTATCCACAAGATAAAGCTCCAGGTACTCAAATCAGTCTCCGTGTTTGTTTGAAAAACATATGAAAGCAGGTGAAGCCTAGTATCCTCTCAACAGCTGCCATTTTCTCCATGCCACTGTGTGTCATGAACCATGATAAGGAAATCAGTTGGAAAAGGCAGTCCTGGTCCCAAAGGAGTTCAGAATCAAGTGGGCAAAAGAGGCACGTGGGTAAGAACTGCCAATCCATGCGGCAGGTGCCATCACTGAGCTTTGCACAGTGTGAAGTTGCCGGAGGGGAGAGGAGAGGGATGCGCCGGGTTGGAGAAGCGGTGAGTAAGGAAGGATTCACTGTGCTGAGTTTTAAAAAATAGTCGCGGTAGAGTAGAGGTGTGTTTGCAAGAAAAAGACATTCCCGGAAGCAAGGATCTGCGAACACAGGCAATAAGATGGTGCATGCAAGGACCTGCAAACTGTCCACAATTTTCCATCGTCATTAAAGTAGGTTGAAATACACTTGAGGTTTTTAACAGTTCAATTCTCATGGAAATTTAATTTCTTCAACTTTATAGGAAAAGGAAAAAGATAACAACGAAGTAGTTTAAAATGTCAATTTTCAATGTCCTTTCTGGATGTAGTAGGTAATTTGGATCAAGCCTCTTGCCGAGGACAATGAAAAACTCTGAACAAAAAACACGTAACAAATAAGATAAAAAACTCTGAACAATATTTTTTTTCTTATAGACCTGGACAGAAAGTAAGATAGTAAAAAATTACTGGCTCAGATCAGGAATGAGTGATGGCCCAGAGATCTGAACCCGGTGTTTGGGCCCTGTTTTCTCCTGAGGGCCTTTGAACTTTCCAAAGTGAAACCATTGTGAAACCAACTGTCTTTTAATAATCTAAACAGCATGGGGGACAGGGAAGTTCAGGGTACACCAAGGGAAGGTGCTCTCTGGTGAACCCCACTCTTTTGGGCTGTGACCCCAGAACATGGTACCTTAGAAGTGTAATCAGAAGCAGATAGGCCTTTCAAAATCTGAAGCCCCAAAAAACTGGGTTAAGGTCTTGAAATAATTAGACTAATAATTATGCAAATAAAAGACTGGCATTCAATAAAAAATAGGGGTGAGTCATGAGGAGACCAGACAATATGAATAAAAACTAGTAAAAACAACATATAATAAAACTATGGCCACGGGGCCTTCTGATATAAAGTCATCAGATATAGACTTTAAAATAACTGTGCTTACAATATTTGCAAGATTAAAGACAAGCTTGAGGGTTTTGGAAGAGAACTAGAATCTATTTTTAGAAGGTTCATGGACATTCTAGGATTAAAAAAAAATAAACCATGTGAAATCAAGAATGCAATGAATTTGCCAACTGAATAGACACGACTGAAGAGAGAATTAGTGAAATGGATTCTGTAATTAGAGCTTTAGAAGAAATTATGGAAAATGTTACACAGAGATGGAAAAATGTCTAATAACGAGGAGCGTAAGGAGAGACATAGAAGATACTTTGGGAAGGTTTAACAGACATAATTTGAATCCTAGGAGGAGAGAGAAATAAAGGGGCAGAGTAATACTTTAGGAGACAGTGGCTAAGAATTTTCCCAAATTGATGAGAGATAACAAGCCATGAATTCAAGAAGGCCTAACCCCAAGCAGGAATGAGAGAAAGAGATCCTCACCCAGGCAGATCATAGTTAAGCTGCTATAAGCCAAAGACAGGGGAAAAAAATCCCAAAAGCCTCCAGAACAAAAGATACATTACCTCCTGATAAGAAACAATTAAACTCACAGTTTACACCTCAACAAAAAAATGGAAGCCAGAAGACAGTGCAAAAGAAAAAGAATTGCCAATCAAGAATTCTATAGGGAGTAAAAAGATCCTTGAAGAATGAAGGCAAAATAAAGACATTTTCAGACAAATAGCACTTAAGAAAATTCACCACCAACAGATCTGTACTACAGAAAATACCAGAGTATTCTTTAGGTAGGAAAAAAATCTACGTACAAGTTTGCAGGTGCAGGGGGAGAAAGAAGAGCAACACAAATGGCCAGATATACAGGCAAATCAAAATCAATATTACACACATACAGACACACACACAAACACATAAAGAACTGAAATACAACCCCCAAATTTTAAAAAGCAGTATATTTCCATGAAATTTGCATCGATTGTGGCTTTTCTACTTAACTTTCTTGATCTTCTTTGGTAACTGATTGGTCTAGGTCTAGACACACTTGTAGAATGGCAGTCTTTATGGGATCTATAGAAGACAGAAGTGTTTTTAGAAGGGACAACTAAAGTGAATTTATATGGAAGCCTATTTCTACTGTGTGAGTGTAAGCATGAGTCTACACATGTGCATATTATTTGAGGGGAAATTCCACTGTTCTGGGCTATTTTAATAATGTAAAGAGAGCTAAATTTTTCTGAGTGCCTACTGTTGGTCAAACTCTCAGGTACCAACTTTACATAGCATAATTTTGTTCAATGCTCACAATATATTAGTGAGACCAGTATTGCTGTTCCAATTTTAGAAATTTTACAAATAGTCTCAGAGAGATCTGTTCAATTTCATAGCTATTAGCTCAAGGAATTGGGATTTAATCTGTTACTGGTCCTCAAACCCATTTTCTTTTTCCTATGCCTCCTGATCTCTGTCCCTCTGGACAAAGATATTACTATACCAGCAAAAGAGATGAGCTTAACATTTCCACTACCCCCAACAATGGTGAATATTACTTGAAACAAATAAGATCCAATAGCATAAGCTCATGGATTTGTTTAATGGTACAGAAAATTATGATCTAGGGTCTGTCTTATATCTTACTCATATATAGTCACTCTATACAAGTGTGTGACGAGGCTGATGTTCAGTTTCAAAATGACATTTATATCACACATATCCATGGGCATATACACACATAGAAATAAATGCACTTACAAGTTACAGTATCAGATGGGGATGCCCACTGTGTTCTAAGTGGGAGGACCAATCTGCAACTGGCCTCACAGAGCCTCTCCCAAACCTCTTAGACTATTAACAACGCAAGCTGAGCAGAGAGAACACATTCTAGTTCAAGTGGGGATGGTTTAGCTGCTTTTCCAAGTCATAAAACAAAGTTCTCACGTGCAAATATCTCATAAGGATCTCTACCAGACTCACTGGTTGCTTATTCCTGCTCAACCCCGGTCAGAAGTAATACCATGTTCACAATGCTAGAAGCCCTATTTCCAAACACATCAGCCTCCTTTGGAACTCTGCATGTTTCTGATGATTCCCTGCTTTTGGGCACAGTCTGGGTCGTTCCTGGAAGACAGCCTGACACCTACCAATGGACAGGTCTTTGGTGTGTGAGCCATATTATACACACTCCTTGGAGCAGCTGATATTTCATTTTCCAAAAATAATATCTACTGTATACTCATAGATAAATCTATATGAAGATTTTCACGTTACCAACTATTTGTAGACTCGTTAAGAAGAAATGTCTTCAAGGCCTTTATAACAGCTAACATAATTGAGTAGTCTAAGAGCTATGATATAGATGTTTATGCTTACTATTAAAGACACCATAATGTTTCTGGACACCTTAGAAGTCCAAAGACAGGCCTTAGAATTAAATACTGTGATGTAGTCTATAGCTAGAATAGCCTACCTAAAGAATCATTATAGAAAAATGATGGGGAAAGAGAAGAATATTTGAGATGTGTACTACAAAGAGCTGATGTAAGTGGAATTTATTATAACCGGGATAGGTTTGAGAGATTCTTCTCCATCAGTTCAAAGGTTTGTCTTTGGTCCCTTCTGCCTAAATTCTGGATATACCTCCTCTCAAAAGAACTGTGCTATCCTGGGAAAAGATGCCACCACCAGACATGCTCAGCTGGTTTTATGCAGGCCGAGTTAGGAGAGAAAGTTAATTCAGATAATCTGATCATTGTAGGCAGCAGATTGGATAGCTAGCTCAGGCCAAATGCTGTTTTTCTACTCACTAATTACCTAGCCTGAACTATCTAATGTCCTTTTTTTCTACTGGTCTGAATGTATATGAACTAAAGTAAATTTTTTCTTTTCTTTGGTGAAAGTTAAAGTCTTGTCTAACAGAGCTCAAATAAATACCCTAAAGTATTCATAACAAATCTATTTTTACTTGATAACAGGTTTGTCATAAGGACATAAACATTCTTAAAGGTTAGCTGATCATTAACAGTTGAAGAAGAAATCCCAC